GAAAGTTCAGCTCAGTTCCGGCAGCTCATGAGGGTCTCTCCCCCCTCTCTCCCTCTGCGGGGATCTGCAGGGCAGCTTCCTCCGCCATCCCTTCAGCACACATTTGAGACATCAAATGACTCAGCCCTTGAGCCTGGCACATCCCAAATTCCGGAGACAAACAACTTCTCGACGCACGCACAGCTGCAGCCTTGTGCTGAGTGGCCCCGGAGCCCTTTTCCAGCCTGTCCCCATGCTCCAGGAGCTAAGGGGCAAAATGTCCAAGGCTGATGGGTCTCAGCTGCACCAGCCCAGCATCCCTCCAAGGTCTGGAGAGCCTGGCAGGAGTCCTGCTGATGCCTGAGCCTCCCATAAAAAAAAAAGCCTCTAGGTTTGAAATCTGCTGGTAGCACGCTCGGATGTTTTGTGGCACCTAGAAGAGGTCCTTCCTCCCATCCCGGCAGCTCCGGGGACTCTCAGGAGTCCCACAAGCAGGACAGTCGCCGCCAACGCCTGGAAGCAGCTGGGAAAATCGACATGGTTGCATGGGCTGGAGGACAATCACGGGAATTACCTCGGAGGCCACGTTCCCACCATCCAGCCCACAGCTGTTCCTGGCTATTTGGAAACCAAACACTTCTGGAGGAAAATAAAAAAAAAGATCTAATCAGTTTTACCCTCTTTTTCCAGCAGGAAGTTTACACCATAATACAAGACAAGCCTGCAGGTGGACACGGGGAACATTTCATGAGCAGTTTAATATTTTTATAGGTATTTTTGTTATCCAAGATATTGCAGTTTTGCCAAACGCATAAAACCACAGACACAGGTATATTGTGCTCCTGGCCACACACACAGCATCCCGGGTTCTGAGAGACAAGAAACCCCCCAGCTTTGCAAATATCACTTAGCCAAGGCTCAAAGCCGGTGAATAAAGCACAGAAATAGTGTCGGCTCCACGCTGGAGCTGAAGAAAATGAGGTATGAAGCCAGGAAATGGCCTTAGCTCAGTGCCTAACCCAGTGATTCAAATCCTTGTGCGAGATACACGAGATCTCAGCGAGGTGGATGCGGCAAAGGTTTCAGCTCCTGGGCTGGATCAGAGCTGGGAGCCCCCACCTCCCTCTCCCACCTCCCTGGATGGAGCCGGCTTCCACCCAGCCTGGCTCTCAAGCTGCTAAAAGCAACTTCAAGTCAGTGTCAGACACAAATCACAGCAGCACTGGGTCCTGCCTTTGTGTTTGACTAGTTATCTGTGCCGTTTCCACTGGCCCAGGGTGCCCAGAGCAGCTGTGGATGCCCCATCCCTGGAGGGGTTCAAGGCCAGGCTGGATGAGGCTTTGGGCAACCTGGGCTGGTGGGAGGTGTCCCTGCCCATGGCAGAGGGGTGGCACTGGATGGGCTTTGGGATCTCTTCCAACCCAAACCATCCTGGGATTCCATGATTTCGCTGAGAAAAGCTGCCGCACAGCGCTGCCAGGAGAAAAGGAAACCCCAAAGACGCGAGTGCATGGCTCCGTGCCTCAGTTTCCCTGCTTGTCAGACCAGAGACGGGGCAGTGTTGTGACACCGAGGGAGCTGACGGGTGCAGAGACGGTGGGAAAGCACGGGGAGGTCTTTGGAGCCTTCCATCGAGGGAAGAGGCTGCCCGGCACAGGAGGGGAGGGACGGCTGCCAGCAGCCCTCGCCCCACACGATGCGGCGTGCGTTCCGGGATGGGAAGGTGCTCGGGGGAACGCTGTGCTGCCGGGCAGGCGGGAGTCAGGCCGGGACAGCGCTGTGCGCAGGGGGAGTCGTGCAAGGACACGGTGCCGCAGGGCAAGGGCAGGTCGCTGCCTGGGGAAGGGAAAGCTCTTGGGATCGCTCCTTGCGTGGAGGTGGCCAGCAGCGATCTTTCTTGTAGGTAGTTGTAAATGCTGAAGGAATTATTTAGGTATCTAAAAGGAACCAAAGCCACA